CAGAGAAACTTTCATTAATACTCTGTTCTTCATAATGGGGTTGTTTTCTTTGTGAAAATCATTTTAATAGAACAAAATGTAATAAAGATTTTGAGTCATGCAAAATTACCTTGGCATTTCTTTAACCTCAGTTTTTGGGTTATTTTCTATTTCCATTTTCTTATTAAAGTTTGATGTTTAAAAAAGATAACTTCTTTCTCTTAGCAGCAATTTAAATACCATAAATAACCTTCATGAGGAATTCAAATATTTTAAACAGGTAATTGGGGGCAACAAAGGGATTGGTTCACACAGTTTCTGATGAAAAGCTGTAGAACCGATTTCTTAATGTAGGAAGGGGCGAAAATTATCTGAATATGAGAGATCCGTTTTTGCTAACCGGTGTAGGCCTTTGGTGTGTGTTAGGCAAAGCATAATAATACCAGGATTCACAAAACTTTTAACATATTTTTCATTCCAAAAAAGGAAGAGTTTACATGGTGATAATTTCTATTCTAAAACTGCGTAACTTTTGTAATCCATAAAACTGGAATACCAGTGGCTAATGTACCTTAGTGTTTTTTCCCCCCCCCAGATGTTTGGAAAACCTGTCAAGCAGGTGGAGTGAAAATAATTGATTCTTTCGTTTTTAAGAAGTGCATTACAAATGTTAAAGAAAGGAAATCAATTGTCAATTAATATTTAAAAAATCATTTAAATGAATCATTCCTTAAAGGCAACTGGAAGGTGGACCAAATCTCCCAGCCCCTATCACTGCTTTTTTATATTGTAGGACTTAAATCAAGTTTGTTGTACAGGAGGCAGAACATATTTTGCTGAACTGAGCAACCTAAAAGTCCAATTGATATGTAGCACCTTTTTCATGAATAAAGCACTGTTTTAATGGTAACATTTGGTTCTATATGATCAACAATATCAATTAGCGTATTCTACATCCGATGAAGTGAGCTGTAGCTCACGAAAGCTCATGCTCAAATAAATTGGTTAGTCTCTAAGGTGCCACAAGTACTCCTTTTCTTTTTGCAAAGACAGACTAACACGGCTGTTACTCTGAAACCATTCTACATTCTATTATACCCACGTAACCTCAGCCGGTGCTCTAGTATGTAGCCCAATGCTGAGGGCATAATTTGGCCCTGACATGAACAACTTTACACCGTGGCATGCCTGCTCTAAGAAGAATGGAACTTCTATGAGATTCTGCCCTTTGATTTATGTTTATTGGTATCACGCTGGGGGGTGGATTTCTGAATCGGCACTTCTGTCAAACGTCATCATTTAGCCCCAAGCTTTCAAATGTGCACATGAATTTTGGCTGCCTCTGTGGGTTTTTATTTTTGTTTTTTGGATTTCTAACTTTATGCACTTCGGGCTTGTTTCCTATTCCGGACTCTTCTACTAACTCATTCTGGACTAGATTGTGAGATAACAATCAGCCCGGGGTAATGGGCTGCATAGTATGGCACGGTACGTGGAGTATCTGGGGAAGGACATTGTGATCTGGTTTATCTGCTGCTCTGGGAGGGAGCATGTTTATACCCAGGGCAATGTATACTGCACCCATGTTTATACCCAGGGCAGTGTATGCTGCCCGATGTGCCAGTGAAGCAATGCCTCCTGGCATGTTGGAGGTAGAGCCAAGTTTCTATCCATTTCCTGCCGCATTCCATCCCCTCTTGCTCGCTTGTGCCAGGGTGAGGTGGCTCTGTGGAGCCTGTCTCTACTTAGCTGCTGCTACCTCTGCTTATGTTGCTGTGCTAGCCAGGCCACAGTATGGTCCTGTGTGAATTTGGACAAATCAGTAAGTCTCGCTGTGCCTCAGGCTTCCCATCTGTAAAATGAGTATAACGACACTTACCTCTTCAGATTTTGGTGAGGCTTGGTTAATGTTTGTCTGTAAATTGCTTTGACAGCCTCATGTGAATGAGGCTACTGTATGTATGTACTATTTTATATCTGTATAATAAGTGCTGCTGATAACTTAGCAGCTGATTAATGATGCACAGCAGCGCTGCAGAAGAACGTTAGAGAATGAAAAAAGGGAACTGTATTCAATAGAAAAAGTAGAGGATACTTAATTACCTACCTCAAAATTAGACATGAGGAAGGAAAACCAATCTGACTTTAGCAAAAAGTGCCATGCGATATTTAATGAGGACAAGAGGCGAGGACGTTTTTCTTGCATCTCCTCTGAAAGGCAGTGCCTCCAAACAACACAATGACACTAACACCCTAGCAGGGCATTGATTCAGGAATGACTCAGAAGGAAAGTACCATCTATTGAAGAAATCATCAGCAACTTTTGTTTCCCTATGGGGGCTCCACGCTCAAGAATTGACCAAGGCAAACCTTTCTGAGCTTGTGAGACCTGATGAGAGAAGTCTTTAGGCTGTTCAGAGGAAATGCTTCATTTTGCCTTCAGAACTTGTGTCTTGCTGAAAGCGGTGAACTGTATTTTTGACAGCTCCATATTGGCTCTGTGTCTCACATTATTCCTGCGAAAGTCAAATGTAATTTATATTTACTGAGTTAGATCAAGATCCACCCATTTCTGACAGTAGCAAAGAGGTAACCTGCGTATTTGCTAAAAGCAACCATTTTCAGCCAAACGATATCCCAGATCATGTGAATGGCTATCATAGAGGTACAGGTTATGCATCGAGAGAAGCATTTTATTTTTTAAGGATAGGAAGAAGATACTAGATTTATCAATCCTAACTTTAAATACCGAGGCTGATGTCATTTCTTGAAAATCCTTAACTTCAAATTTCAAAGATCTATAGGGCAAAATCTAGCTCAAAGTAACTATAGTTCATCATACGGATTGTGGTAGTAGCTATCTTGCTTAGAGAATGTAATGATTTGTGACACTTTCAGTTTAGGAGCCCGGCTTAATAACAGTTTTATATCCTGTTCGATAGTGTTTTAACAATTGTAGCATCCAGTTCTTTTCTCAGATCTACTGCACATTGCAGAAATTGCTGCTCATCTTGGCTGATTCCTTTATGTTCCAAATAGGGATTTGCACCTTTGGCTACAGCTGGCTTAGGTTAAACACCGTTTCAAAAAAAGCCATGTTCTAGCCAAAAAGATAGTCTCTTTATATTAACGTCCCAACTCTTGACCGATTCATCTGTCTTGACCGTGGTGGAAATGAAGGCTGTTTGTGCTACATATGATGTGATGCACAGCAGTCTTCTTAAAGGTGAAGTGACCAAGGAAATGGATGCACATACTTGCAGCATAGCTCTACAAATATTTGCTAAAGCACAGGCACAATGTAAACATCAGAATTTAGGAATGCTACGTAGGTTGGAATCAGCCTTGAGGATTCTCATTCCATATTCTGAACTGTAAGATCTCTGGGGCAAGTACTATCTTTGTGTTATTTATTACACATCATCTAGACAACAGGGACCTTGCTCTTTTTTTTTTTTCCTGTTTGTCTTTAGGTACTACTGCAATAGAGGTAATAAATACATTGCTTTGAAGCTTAGGACGGATACCACATATTCTGTGCATGTTAAAGGCGAAGAGTACTTGTATTGTTCTGATCAGCAAGCTGAAACTTCTAAAGATAAGCAGCTCTCAGCATGAACCGAACAATTAGGTGTCTTGAAATTCCAGGTATCTGGGACTTCCTTTTCAGCACCATATGGGTTACAGTAGTTTATGACCATGTATGTTAGCAAAGTGAAAGGAATCCTGTTCAATTTTTTCTTAACTATGATATGCAAATTAAAATAGTACAAGCTCAGTGATATGAACAATACCACATCTGGGCAAACTATCAGGAGTGCAGCATAATTTATGGGACAAGGCATTGCCTAAACTAGTTGAACTTACATTTCACATGCTACTAAAGGCCCCTACAGGTTTCCTTCATTAGGAAACAAACCCAATTTTGGTTTGACTTATGGTCCAGTAATAGCAGAGTTACATTATCTTTGGGCTTTGGAAATATAGTCTGGGATATCGCATTTATAGAGCCGTCAAATGTTTTGTGACCCTGGGCTTCTGGCACAAATGTAAAAGTGCTTCACTCAGTGTTAGTTCTAGCTCTGAGGATTCCCTTTGTAAACTTTCAAGTTGGAACATAACTCAGGAGCACATTCATTCTGTGTTTGGCAACAGGAATGAGACAGTTCGAATCAGCAGCACATGCTTAAAGGGACAATGTCAGTACGAAATCAGGTCTGTTTGAACAACGACTTAAAATACCCTCCAATACTGAACCTGCCACTGAATCCCCCTGCCAATTTTGGTTGCTTCATAGTCACATTTTTGTACTTTTTAGGAATGGTTGTTCTCTTCCCTGTTGTGTTAAAGACCCACAAAAATGCTGGATACTGATTAAATAACTACACAGGGGAAACAGAACAACTGACGGGCACAAAATGCAGTTAGATAAAGTAAACAAACTAGGGAAAAAATGTCCCCTCAAAGCCCTTTCAGCTACAGTAAGGTTCTGTGCTATTTAAAACATTATTATTTATTTGTATTGTTACAATGCCTAGAAGCTCCAGTCAAGAATTAAAGTCCCATTTTGCTAGGCACTGGAGACGCATAGGTACTCCTTGCCTCAAAGATCTTACAGTCTTAAGGGTAGGATAAGGCAACAAGTGTACATACTCCTGGTGGACAAAGGGAGCAAAAGGGAACAGTGAGACAATCAGAAGAGTAATAAGGAGCAGTCAGAACAGACCAGCTGCCAGGCCTTTGGATTCCATAGTACATGTGAACAATTTTCAGCCAGAAATGTTATATTTGTAAGTTGGTGGCCTCCCTTTAAATGTATCCCTAGGTACAGGGCTAGCTGTTGGCTGGAAACTGCCTGGATCAGGCTGACTTAAAAAAGAATTTTGTTTGAATGATGTCTTTAGGATCAAGCCCAGTGTGTTTGCACAGTGAGGATGTGCTGCACAGATGGGTAACACCCAGTTCTGTTTGCTGAACAAATAAGAAATTAAACTGATGGCTCGTGCTTTGTTCATTTATAGGGATCAGCAGACAGTGACAAAATCCGGCCGGATAGACCTGACCTGAAGATTTCATACACAGAATAGCTTCAGAGTTTTTTAAAAAAGGTGTTGTACTTACAGTTTAATATTAAAATACCATGTTAAATATTTAATATACTTTAAGATTCTTTCTGTGAATTTAACCCAGCAATAATATAGGAACATTGTTTATTACTTACCTTGAACTATCCATATTGCTAGTTCACAGTAATGGCACTTTTAGCAGGTTGATGACTGTCAGGCTCAGAAATAGCAATTGTAATATGATAAAATTATTCTGGAATACATTTGCATGGTTTATTCATGGTAAGAATTGCTTTTTTGCATGTCAGACTGCTGACTAGAGCAAAATGTGTTTACTTGGAACTGGATATACATTCTGGGTTAAAAAAAGACGTGTTCTCTTAAACTGTGTATGGAAAGAAAAGAAAATTAGTTTGGTTTAATCCAGTTGTTATTTAATTTCAACTTTGTGTCGAATCCATTTCAGTAAAAACTTCTGGCAGCTATGTCTGGCAATGGACATTATAAAGTAATGTCACTTAGTGTCAAACTCATATGAAATCAATCCTTCATTGTCGGGGGTGTGGTTGGGTGGGGGGGTTGGGATGGAAGCAACACACATATATTAAACTAAATTTTACTGCGTTCCCTTTGCTGTTGTTGAAAATATTTGTTTCAATAAAACTTCCTTTCACCAGTTCCTCTGGGATCCTACAGTGAAGTGATAATTCTGTGCTGTAATATTCTGCTGGCATGAAAATGATTATAAATTCACCACTGTGTGATCTGATAAGAGGGAAAGAGGGGCCAGAAGGGAGGAAGCCCGATAAGCTCAAGTAGCTTTAGAATTAGCAAAGATAATTTTAAAAAGAGTGAAAGCTGCATGAATTTGTCTGTTACCTTTGAAGATGTTCACCAGTATTAAAGGTTCTTTGTATGAAAATGCCTAAAATGGTCATATGTGTACTGTCCATTATATTAGGGTACAGAAAAGCAGAGGTATTCCATAATGGTGTTCTGTTCAGTGTGACTCTATACAGGGCTGTGTGTGCTGTATGATTGATGTCATGTAGTAGTCCCATTAAACGTTAAAAGGGAAAAATAATTCTGCTTAATCCTTCTCTTTCACTGTCAGTAGTATATAGAAGGTAGGGGTAATGGAAAGTTTAGATCAGAACATGCCACTTTAGAATTGCTGCTGGCCTACATTTCAAAGTATGAACCGAGATGAACATTCAGTCTTTGGAATACAGGAGCATCCCAAACAGAACTACTGAGTGGTGATAAAGATAAAGATTACCCTGTACATGCTGAGTTTTCTTGGGAGACTCTATAGTTACTGCACTTTATTTTAGTGCCTGAAACTTCCTGCAGCAAAGGCCGGATCCAGCTCCCCACTTCAGTCGCTGTGGAGCAGCCTTGTGCTGTGGAGCTGGTGTGGTTCCACTGGACCAGGGGTGGCCAACCTGCGGCTCCGGAGTCGCATGCGGCTCTTCAGAAGTTAATATGCGGCTCCTTGTAAAGGCACCGACTCTGGGGGCTGGAGCTACAGGTGCCAACTTTCCAATGTGCCAGGGGATGCTCACTGTTCAACCCCTGGTTCTGCCACAGGCCCTGCCCCCCTCCACCCCTTTCCTGCGCCCTCCCCTGAGCCTGCCGTGCCCTCGCTCCCCCCTCCCCACGCCCAAGCCTTCTGCACGCCACGAAACAGCTGATCAGGAGGTGCGGGGAGGGAGGGGGAGGCACTGATTGGTGAGGCTGCTGGTGGGTGGGAGGCGCTGGGAGCAGGGTAGAGGAGTTGATATGGGGCTGCTGATGTATTACTGTGGCTTTTTGGCAATGTACATTGGTAAATTCTGGCTCCTTCTCAGGCTCCTTCTCAGGCCACTCCTGCACTGGACTGCGGCTGGCCAGTAGGCTGAAGTAGCCCTATGCAGAATGGCCATGAATCCTGGAGGGAGGATTCTTTCCTTTCCTATCCTATCCCTTACCCTAGTGCCTAGCCTGTCCACATCTCCCCAACACCTGACCTGACCAGTCAGGCTGGGCACTAGGGTAAGGATTTGACCCTAAGTGACTGTCTGCTTCAAATGCATTATGAGTCACCCTAACTTCACTCTTGGCTGTGTTGTAGTTTTTCATAAAAATATTGAATTTCATTGGCCAAAGCAGAACTAAAGTGTTTGCACTTAAATGAGCTGGGATTGTTTGTAGTGCTCATAAGTGAAGCCTTGGATTGTTACCTAACTTTCTTTTTTCAGTGACTAATTTCACAGATTTTTGAATTGCGTTTCTTAGGATAATTTTTGTTCTAAAGAACTACTACAAAGAAACTCTATAAAAATAACCAATGTGTTTTTTTTTTTTAAATTTGGCTTTAGAAAATAGAATATTTTATCTACTCTTGTACTAGTTGGTGCCTATCTGTATAGCTTTAGTACAATGTGTAAGAAAAGTAATTTGACATATGGCTGGAATATAAGGAAAAGTAGAGAGAATAGTGCATTCCTATAGTAGTTATGCCTCAAGACAAAAGAGCCTTTATCTTATTCATTATTTTTACCTTTATTTACATTTAATTGTCTGAATATATGTCTTTGGGAAATTTTAGAAATAAACTGTTAGCCTGTATTTCTGAGGTATGTTGAAAGTGTATTAGGATCAGAGTTTGTGGTATTACAGTTTTGTTTCTTTTACACAAAAGAGGATCTTATTTATTGCCTGCTTTAAACTATTATATTTTGAGTGATAACAGGAATCCATTTATTTCAGAAAAATATTAAAAATCCCTTAGACAGTAATGTTTTGCTTATAAACGTCATTAAAAAGGATGCAATCACTGTCATTGCAGTCAGTCTCCTTTTCAGTAAGAATAATCCTAAAATTCCAGCCCATCTGGAGAGCCATTAAAAACCCTTTTTCCTGTGGAACTAATCTGGATGTGTCATGCAACCAGTCCAAAACCCATTCTATATAGATATCCAGAGTAGCTTTTGTTTTTCAAATTGGTTGTATGCACCCTGATCCTGTTCTGAGAAATGTGCAGCAAGCATGGTGTGTGTGGGTGTGTGTGCGTGTTATGTTAATTGCAAGATCGGTGCCAAGCTGTCCAAATGGCAATACCCACAGGCTATAAATTTTTTTTTTACTGGTAAGGCAGTTTGCTTACTTCACACAATGTGCCTGAGCACATATGTCCTTTGTACGGCCATAGATGGTTTATGAAAGTGGAGTTTTCTATTGATTCCATCACTGTATTCCTTTGGGCAAAAACAGACAAAATTCACTTTTTTTGATGTCAGTTTAGAGTAGCCGCTCTTAAACTGGTGCTGCTGAGGTAGAAAGCTACAGTCTGGACAAGGAAATGTAAAACAAGGACTTGTCGTGCAGAGTAACTTCAACCATTATGTCATTTGTCATCTACACTGTGTCATATGACTGATACTCAGTTAAATGGGAAGATATCTGACTGTGATATTACTTGATCCAGATCCTGTATACAGGGCTGCAAGGTTGTGTAGATTCATAGATTTTAGGGCTAGAAGGAATTATTAGGTTATCTAATCTGACCTCCTGTACATCACAGGCAATTACATTTCACCCAAAAAGAAAAGGAGGACTTGTGGCACCTTAGAGACTAACCAATTTATTTGAGCATGAGCTTTCGTGAGCTACAGCTCACTTCATCGGATGCATACTGTGGAAACTGCAGAAGATATTATATACACAGAGACCATGAAACAATACCTCCTCCCACCCCACTCTCCTGCTGGTAATAGCTTATCTAAAGTGATCACTCTCCTTACAATGTGTATGATAATCAAGTTGGGCCATTTCCAGCACAAATCCAGGTTTTCTCACCCTCCGCCTCCCCCCCCCCCCACAAACTCACTCTCCTGCTGGTAATAGCCCATCATCATACACATTGTAAGGAGAAAAGGAGTACTTGTGGCACCTTAGAGACTAACCAATTTATTTGAGCATGAGCTTTGTGAGCTACAGCTCACTTCATCAGATGTTTACCGTGAAACTGCAGCAGACTTTATATACACACAGAGAATAGGAAACAATACCTCCTCCCACCCCACTGTCCTGCTGGTAATAGCTTATCTAAAGTGATCAACAGGTGGCCATTTCCAGCACAAATCCAGGTTTTCTCACCCTCCACCCCCCACACAAATTCACTCTCCTGCTGGTGCTAGCCCATCCAAAGTGACAACTCTTTACATAATCAAGTCGGGCTATTTCCTGCATAGATCAAGGTTTTCTCACATCCCCCCCACCCCCATACACACACAAACTCACTCTCCTGCTGGTAATAGCTCATCTAAACTGACCACTCTCCAAGTTTAAATCCAAGTTAAACCAGAACATCTGGGGGGGGGGGGTAGGAAAAACAAGAAGAAACAGGCTACCTTGCATAATGACTTAGCCACTCCCAGTCTCTATTTAAGCCTAAATTAATAGTATCCAATCTGCAAATGAATTCCAATTCAGCAGTTTCTCGCTGGAGTCTGGATTTGAAGTTTTTTTGTTTTAAGATAGCGACCTTCATGTCTGTGATTGCGTGACCAGAGAGATTGAAGTGTTCTCCGACTGGTTTATGAATGTTATGATTCTTGACATCTGATTTGTGTCCATTTATTCTTTTACGTAGAGACTGTCCAGTTTGACCAATGTACATGGCAGAGGGGCATTGCTGGCACATGATGGCATATATCACATTGGTGGATGTGCAGGTAAACGAGCCTCTGATAGTGTGGCTGATGTTATTAGGCCCTGTGATGGTGTCCCCTGAATAGATATGTGGGCACAATTGGCAACGGGCTTTGTTGCAAGGATAAGTTCCTGGGTTAGTGGTTCTGTTGTGTGGTATGTGGTTGTTGGTGAGTATTTGCTTCAGGTTGCGGGGCTGTCTGTAGGCAAGGACTGGCCTGTCTCCCAAGACTTGTGAGAGTGTTGGGTCATCCTTTAGGATAGGTTGTAGATCCTTAATAATGCGTTGGAGGGGTTTTAGTTGGGGCTGAAGGTGACCGCTAGTGGCGTTCTGTTATTTTCTTTGT